ATGACTGTCACGTAGAGTGCTCTGCATCTGGTAGACGAGCTATGTTCCTAACACGGTCATTTTCTGTGTGCAGGGTGCGTGTTTTTTAAATAGGAGAGCACGTTAAAATAACCGGTTGGCAAGGATACAGTACAGTCTAGCAAGAAGGATACTGCACAAATGAAGGTACAGTTACTAGGATGCTAACAGAAGGCAGGTGAAGAGTCGCACTCCCCCAATCTGGCCTCAGCTACACTGGTTGCCAGACTGTTTCCAGGCTCAGTGTAAAGTGTGGAGTGTAATTTTTAAAGTTCTAAACAATTTGGAACAAGTTATTGGGAATGCTGTCTGATCTCCTATAAGCTACTCCGTCTTGAACTCCACTCCACTCCACTCCCACTCCAGAAAAGACTTCATGGCCACCAGAAATGCAGCCCTGAACTGCCTTCTCCGAGAAAAACATCAGAGCCTTTCCTGGGTTGCATGAACTCCAAAGGCTGGCTTACTTCCTTCAGCCTTCCTTACATTTAATGTTATGCCTGTCTTCTAGATTAGCTTTACATTCCTGATTTTCCTTGGCATTTCTTTCTTTATTTGCCTGCTTACCCACGCGATTGATGCCCTGCGATAGTCTTTTCTCCAAATCTCAAATCCTACAGGACTGAGCACCCACAATCCTTTGCACCACAGCCTTGTTGGATAGGCCCACTTACTCGGACGCCTGACTTTAATCAGCTCCCAAATACTTATCTAGAAATTGCTCTGAGAAAAACACAGACCAGGAGATGCTGAGAAAGTTTGTGCCAAGCGGGAGACAGGAACATCTCGGAGGATAAATGGTGCAAGAGTTCTATTCCCATTTGTCTTCAGCTGCAATCCATTCATCAGCACACAGCTGTTTGTTAGCAACGGGAACAAGACACTGAATTCTTTCTTGAAACAAATAAACTGAACTGCACCCTTGTCACGGATTTATAACCTCAGAATGTATTGGTTTTCTATGCTAACCAAAATGGAATTCTGTATCAAAAGAGCAGTACATCAAGGTGAACAGGGAATGGCTCCTTCTTTGCATCCAACTTTTGATCCTGGACCACAACGGCAGTCTAGGTAATAGCAAGGTAACAAGGGGGCCCTCCTGTGTGAGGCCCCCCAATAGCAGTTTGCAAAACACAAATGAAGCACCCAATAAACAGTCCAACACACTATCTTCTAGGTTCAGAATGTGGGAGAAGTGCCAGCAAGATTATCTGTCTGGCAACTGGAAGTTTTGCACATTCACCACTCCAGTGTTTTGTGGGTTTAGGTCAATTTTCTTTCAGTATAGATTCACAGCAGTACTACTGCACTCCCAAGCATCCAACGTACTTTTTTTTTTTTAATCACCCTTAGGAGATTGATTTTGGCTGATTTTGTCTGCAAATGACCGTAGTCATTTCCAGTCAGTTTTACAACGCCTACAGAAAACCACCCAGCTTCATTTTCTCCGCTTATGAAAGGTATTCACTTCTGCCACGTAGCATCCCACGAGGGAAACACATCCCTCGCGTTTCAAACACATTGTACTTGGCACTGCATGAAAGCCATCAGTGCCCAGAAGAATGGCTATAAAACAGTGGTGCACGTATGTACGTGTACGCGCGCGAGAGAGGGAATAGATTTAGAAGGGTCAAGAGCCTATGAGGATGGGTTGCAGAGTGTGTTACGTGTTCCATGTTGACAGATCTGTGTAAATGCACCCGGGCAGAAGGAGCTCCCTAGGGCAGCCCAGCTATTGTTAGGACTGCACAGGCCCTACCCAAAAGAAAAATGGAGGCACCGGGGTAATGCAAACATTTGCAACGCTGCATTTTTCAGCCCGTGTAAGTTACGCTGACAACGCACATTTGCACTGTCTCTCATATTATGCACAATTTATCTCCATTCTCTTACTTAGGCAGAAGGGAAAGGAATGGAATACTTCTTCTAATCTCAGACTCTGGAAATCTTATCATGGTTAAACCTTAACCCTATCCAAGTTTCTGAGATTTCAGCAGGCACTAGACACATTCAGGCATATTATAATCATAGTGGCTACCATTATAGCTTGCAAATGATATGCTAATTTGCTTCTAGTTAAAAGAAAGTATCTGGAACTCCTGAAACATTTCAAATATATGTTTATATTGAAGGATGTTTACATTTTATCATATGTGGTGGTCATGTAAAAAAATTCAAAAATACTAGGAAGAAATACACAGCATTATTAAAAAAAATTAAAAACAAAATTTGAATTGAAACCTCAGGGGTTTTTTTCCTATTAGGAAACTTTCCAAAACAAATAAATAAAAAATATAACAATTTATTAAGAAATATGCTGATAGCTTCAAGGACAAATTTGGCCGACAATGGAAAAGAGATGACTTTGCCGACAGGATCAGACTGGGAAACCAAACTTGGGGAATACACAGCAGTGGCAAAGTTAACAGGATATATCCAGAAGAGAAGTTGGACTAAATTTAAGCAAGAATGGCTTCCCTACACACAACACAACATGGGAAACTGAGAGTACGTTTTTAAGGGGGAAACATTATATTTGATGTAAAGATTATAACCAGAAGCAAGTTTAATATTTATAAATAACTTGATGTAATTACCAGTTGGGTACAATGGGAACTTAATATTGCTTAACTTAAATTAACTCAACTTAACTTAAATTCAGAACTTAATATTGCTTTTACTGATTGTTTTTAGTATTTTTTAAATTATTTTTTCTTTTTACTGTATAAGATTATGTGCATTTATTTTAGGTAATGATGAACAATGGTGATACCAATATAATCATCACAGTTTAGAGTTTTGTAGTGATTCACGATCATTTTTCAAGATGATACAATGATTTTAGTTTTATATATCCAATTAATTATTTAACCAATGGAATAAGGAATTCTAAATTTTATAACAATTGTAAATTCTCCATTTATTAGTATTTTATTTTCCAGACACTATGTCTTATCTCATTTTCTTCTTTTTCCTTTTATGTAGTCACTTATTTTATTCTTCAAAGGTTTTAAAATATAGACAGACACATGCACACACTTTCATAATGAATGGGAGACCACCAAGAAATTCCAGGGCGGTAGGAACTCCCTCTCTTCTCCCTCCCTTTCCCCTCCTTCTCCTCTTGCCAAGAAAACTGCACAGGTGTATCCACAGTCATCAACGGCCATGCTCTGCTCACTGTCTTTACCATTATTGTCAAGTTCAGTTTTCAAGACAAAACTGAAAGCGTAATTAATCCTTCCCTGCTTCTTCGTCCCCTATTCCTCATGCCCCGTTGCAGCTCTTTCAGGTGTGATTCCAGCCAGTCAGGGGGCCATAATATCTGAGTGCGCAACAGCAGCCCTGAAGGCCATCCTCGCCTTTGCTGCCTTGCGCTGAGCCGGCTGATCCCTAGGGCTGAATGAAGCCCCCAGCCTTGCCATAAAATGTTGCTGGTTTCAGGGCTCACCAGACAGCTTGGAAGATTAGGACTCGCGGCCCGGGTCTCGTGGGATGCAATTCAGAGAAAGTGTGACAATCTGATCTGCTAGGCTGGGAGGGAGGGAGGGAGCCTGGACCATTCTCCGTCCTCTTCTCCCAGATATTTGCTCCCTTTCAAACACAGTCACATTGGCAGAAAAAAAGTCACCACTAAACTGGAAATGGGGCAGAGGTCTGCAGGATCTGACCCTCCCCTTAAAATGACCACAACGCTGCAATGTCAGTTTTGCCCCTTTGCATGCCCCCAGCACGTCACAAAGCACAAACAGAAGGAAAGGGTTTGCACTGAGTCAGGGCAACACCCACTTGACAGCACCCCCGTGAATGCCCCTGGGCTGGGGCCCTACGTTTGGCCGGACAGACAATTTCAGAATGAACCCCGCCACCCACTTCTGCTCAGTCCTACTTTCATGTCCATGTCTGACTGACATTCTGCTGCTATACATGGTGTTTTCTTCACTGTTAACATCAGCATAAATTAGGAGAAATCTGATTGCAGTCACTGAGAATTCAGCAGATTTTAATGTCCCTAAATCAACATAAATATTTTTAACTCTATGGCTTTTACTAGAAATCATAAAACATGATAAGCTCACCCTAAATTGGGGGACATACAGCACCCAGTACCCCATTAGAAGTCCAGCACGTAAGATTACATTATCAAAATTTGGCAGCCAAATGGTTTATTTCCAACAGCATCATGTTAGGGGTTTTTCCTCTAAATAAGCCTGTAAGGAGAAATTCCTCTGAGAGGAAACTATTCCATCTCCCCCACCCTTTAACCTGCGCATGGCCCACATCAGCCACTTCACTCTGAATGCTGTGATTTGTAGCCCTCTGAAGAGGAGGTGAGAGAATTTTTAAGGATCTTAACAGGAGTACCTTGCCTCCCAGAGGCTGCCGCTGCCATTCCCAGCCTTAGAAAAATGCTAAAACAGAGTTTTAAAATGGGCTCACCGCTTCCTGTGGCCGTCTAGTTGATCAGGGGCATCGGTCGCAGCCCCCAACCCCGGGAAACCTGCTCGTCCCTGCTCTAAACTGTGACTGTTCTCACGGTCATATTGTCATCCAGTTGGCAGCTTATGCAAAGGTCTTGCCAACGTTCCTTCCCAAAGGTAAGGGGAATACAAAGAACCTGCTTGAAATGGGACCCATTCCTCTCAAAAACAACGGTTGTGGTCCACTGTACAATTCACACGCTTCTGGGTTCATCTTCAAAACAGCAGTAGGGAGCAAGCAAGCAAACAAAGCTGCAATCAAAGAGGGAGCCAGGCTCATAATTAAAGAAGCCGATGGCCGATTCATCTGAGGGCAGCATCTGAAAAGATGATTCTGGGCCCCCAGATGAGAGTGAGGATTCACCAGCACTGATTTCGCAAAACCAGTGGGAATTTGAGGCATGAAGCAGTGTTCAGCCACACCTGCTCCTTTCGCTTTGAAAAAGGGAAAAAGAAGGATACCTGTTTATGGCCACCACTGTTGCTCCCAGTTGGTCTTGTACAAGCACTGAGACAAACACGAGAGAGCCACACTCTTGGAACCCGGGTGGCAGGAAGGCCGCGTGTGTAGAATGACTCCCTTTGTACACCAGAAATTCATCGCAGTGGCCAGTTCGGCAGCGCGTGGCCATGAGGATATACACCAAGGGGGTATCTGCTTCCACCGTATCTTTCCAGCCTGCAGCCAAACACTGGATGTTACTAGAGCGTCCTACAGGAAGGCACCTGTCTGGCACCTCCATGACTGATGAGGATTTGAATGGAGATTAGCTTAGGCGGTCCAGATTCAAATCCCATTCAGCCATGAAGTCAATGCTGATCTTGCAGTCCAGCTCTCAGGCACAGACTTGGGACACTGGTGTTCAACATTCTTACCTGTGCACTCGAAATGGATCTTGGTGGCCAATGCTTGCACAGGACTTGCAGGAGAAAACTGGCAGGATCCCCCAAAGGGGGGCTGGTTGGGAAAAAGGTCGATGGATGCATAGCCTTCTTCCCCAGTGGCTGGGTCTGTGATGTACAGAGTGAAAGTGTACCCCTCCCCGTCCTTCAGAGCCCACGGCCGCAAGACGAGGCTCATCTCTGCATCCCCTGTGGAGGTCGATCTTTTGTCTAAAACCAGAGATTCGTTTTTGAAGCTCTGAGCCGTCCATCTCTGCACAGTCTTAAAAAAAAGAGGGGAGAGAAAAGACCCCCCAAGTTTATTAACTGTTTAATTTAAAGTACTACCCCTGTATTTTTTGATAAAAGGGGGAGGATCCATTTTCAGCCTCTGGCCAAATTTGGGGCTGACAGCTCAGCCCCCTTCCCAGGCATTTGATCCAAACAAAACAGGGAGAAGACCAAACCATCTGGCAGGAGACCTCCTCCAACATCAGATGGGATCCACTTGAGGTTTCCTGCATTACCTCACCTTCCAATGAATGATTTCAGAAGAAAAGCACAAGGAAACCAGACAAGGAGATTTGGATTTTCTACCGGCGCCACTGCTTTCGTTTAGATTAGCCTCCAAGTTAAATAGAGGAGGGGGGAGGCCGCTACCCTCACGACACAATGGCAACGTTACACAAACGCAAGGGAGATTACGGGAACCACCAGGAAAGGATCTTTGATCGCTGAGATGACTGGAGTGCATTTTCTCCAACTCCCAATTTTTGAAGCAAGAGACAGATTTTGGCCACTTGGAAAGTGACCTCATAAATCTCAAAATGGAGCAAACTAGCTGAGAGGAAAAGGCCCAACACTGTCTATTACTGCAGAAATCATGAACCTGGTGTTAAAAATATGCTGCTGGTCTAAGCATCAGCTCAAATTCTGCCGCCCCTCCCTCAAGCGGGAGCGTGTGCGGGGACCGGCAGACGTTTCAACTCAATGTTTTGCTTATGTTTCTTCTGAGCGTAATACATTTTAACTTGAAAAGGCAGCCAGGATATTGGGGCGATGTGGAGGGCTGGAGACAGAACAAAAATTATCTGTGGAAGACAGAGCTGATCTCAAAGATAAGCATCGCAGGGCGAGCAGAAAGAAAGGGAAATGTTGTTGAAACCACTAATGAAAAGGTTCCAGCCGGATTCCACTGAATCCGTGACGCCGGCAGTTCCACGCTGGCAGTTCATCTTCAGGGAGACGCAAAAGGCGAGGCAGGAACTCTTGGGGCCAGAGGAGTGTGGCCCAAGCCCACTGTGCAACTCCCCCTGCGCACCAGGTCAGCCTAGACGGACAGAAAGACCCCAAGGCCAAATGACAGCCGGTTCGTGGAAGCTGGTCCTGCCAAAGGAGTCCCTCCTCTGGTGCAGCGTAACCGTCTTCTGACCAAAGACTTTTAGGAGAACACGCAAAATAAAAAGAACGCTCACAGTTCCTCAGCCCTAAAGGCAAACAGGGATTTACATCTGTGTTTTGTGTAGGTGTGCATGTCCATACTGTCCTTGGCCAAATCACTGTCATGGTCTATGTGGAAGGCCCTATACCCATTGACACTCCAGCAAACCTCAAGAGAAAATAATTCTTATTTCTATACTGACATAGCCCAATGTTGTTCTTCTTTGATGACACCCAAAAACAAGCCTCACCACTCGTAGAGGGGAAAGGGCCACATCGATAAATTAAAAATAATTGTGGGCCACAAAGGAATAGCTGGCACGGCGACCAGCTGTACGGTGGCTAGCGGCGTGGCGGCAGCACTGGAGCTGGCAGTGTTGCTGAGGCCTGGAGGTGTTGGAGGCGCTTGGCAGCATGTTTTTCAAAAATGCCGATGGGCCACATGTGGCCCACAGGATGCATGCTGTGCAGGTCTGCCAACTACATTGTGAAGAAGTCTAGACTGCAACCTAGAGGAACGGACAGGAACACCTCCCATCTTGCTGAGAGTTAAGTTGTTAACAAGGCCTTTTTGATATGCATAAGGGGGGAAATAAAATCCCTTTTGTGGGGATTTTTGCCTGAGCTCAACTGTGTGCATCTTGCAAAGCAGAAAAAAAGAAAGCCTTGAAGGCACCTGAAATGGTTCCATGAGGGAGACACAGCACCAAGAAGAAGCCACCGCTGGAGCCAGACTACTCCCTGCAGAGCCCCAGAAACATCTCACAGGCCTCCTCTTACCCCCAGGTTGGAATTGTTTTGGCAGTTCAAGCAGGTCCCCTCCAAGTACACGTAGGAGCTCCGGCTCACTTCGTAGACAGACTGCGCCTTGCAGGAGACGCACTCCAGAGACACAATGGGGACGGTCCCTTTCTTCAGCAAGACCTTGGGGAGAGAGCAGAGAAAGCCACAGACGTTCAGATGAGCCCTCCTCAGATCTTCCTGCCGCCAGGGGGAAGACGTGTGTGCGGTGCCAAGAAATACATAAGCAGAAAAATAAAACTGTACAACAAGGACATGCAATTCTACAGCATCTCCTCACACTTTACTTAATTATTCTGTGGCCTTAGTTCTTTTTAAGAATCTGTATTTTTTATTCTGGTTCTCTGTTCACAGGTAGAACCAAGCACCAAATTCTTTATGGCAGCATTTGGGGCTTCTTAGATTTCATGGAACTGATGCTGATGAAGGCTGGTCTAAAACTCTTGTAAACCAGGCCTGCCCAAGGGCCTTCCCTTTACTGAAAACAGATTTTCAGAAGCTGTTTTCTTATTTCCCCACCAGCCCGAAGATACAGCACTTACAGACCCAGCTCTTCTTCCTAAATTTGGGGCAGAAGGTACACTGGATGGATTTGAATAAATGGTGCCTGTGAGGTTTCCTCTAAACCCTGAAACGTCAGCAATTGCACTGGGAGCAGTTATGCTTTTGGATATTGCTTCTCTTTCTCTTCCTTCACAGAGAGAAGCTTCTTCTGCTGCTTCCTTCACCCCCAAGAATGCAAATTCTCCAGTGGCTCGCTCTGCATACAGGGTTTTTGTCAAAGGTCAAGTACCTGAATTCTGGACCACGCAAACCTGAAAACAGCTCACCCACCAAACAGAGCAGAAGGACGGGAGGTCCTTTACGGTAGTTATACAACACAGTTAATTGTTTTAGGGAATTGAAACTCCAAAAGCTAAACAATTAAGGACTATACGATCTATGCACTTTGCCTCTGAAGATGCCAGCCACACAGTTGCCGGCGAAATGTCAGGAAATCTGTTCTCTAGACCACGGTCACTAAATCCTGAAGCCCAATCCTGCCCACCAGATCCCTCCATAAAAGCCTACACCAGTAAATTAGGAATGTTTCAAATGGTTTTCAGAAGACCATGAAGGCTGGGCAGAAAAACGGTAGCCCAAATCATGTTCTAAAATCCCTGCTCTTGTGAAGCTGGTCTCCTCTGACACTCTGGGTATTGTGAAGTTAGCTCTGTGAATCTAGAAATACCACACCCCCCCACTTCCCCCCAAATCAGGGATGTCTAGATACTTCTAACAGGAGCCATAAAGGCGCTCTCTGCATGGCAAACTCTTAAAAGAAAAGAAAGACTCTCCCCCTGTTTGTTCCTCCAGCCCTTGAAAATTCCCAGTCAAATCATTTATTCTGCATTCTTATATGCAAACTAGATAGTACGGAATGTCCTTGAAAGACTATCAATTTGACGTGGGTTCTTTTTTTCCCACCCTTCCTTCCAACCTCCTGTTTCCAAAAAAATGAGAGAGAGAGGGAGGGAGAGAGAATGATCAAGGCAATTTTGGTTTTCACTTGCAGACAAACTGCCTCTCTAATTGCTAAGCGGCCCTTGAAGCTGGTGATCTAAACCATAAGGTTTTTTGGCTTCCAGCATTTCAGTTAGGTCTGCCAAGAGGCACCGATTCAAAAACGGGGTGGGGCTGTCCCTCCTGCTACATCTTCCAAGCAGCCTGGTGAAGAAAAATAGAAGAAACCTTGCTCACACACACACCTGACAAAGCAAGGGACCCCCATCTTTCCAACGGTTGCCTCTGTGCGGGAAGCATGGCCTTCAGTATCAAAGGAGAGGTGGCAGGGCTGAAAGTGTTCTCCAGCTCCCCGAGACTCGGAAGAGCCCCCCGCCCTGCTCTTTGGGTGCGTGTGCTTATGTAGAAGCCATGAGATCAGAGTAGACCATTCAAGGTGCTGATTGGCTCTCAGTCTGGGACCCGCTTTCAGGATCTCAGGTTCACCGAAGGATATTATAGGAGGAGAGCTATTGTTTGTTCATGGTAGCAAAACTCAGGAGAAGTCTGGCAACACCTTTTCCAACTAATATATTTTATTGAAAGGCAGAAGCTTTCAGTCAGAAAAGGTGCTACCAGATTCCTCCTGATTTTTTGCAAGGACATTACTAACAGTCCATACCCTGATAGTTGTTGCTGAGATGTGATACACAAGTACACTGAACATCTCACGTGTCTTAGATGGACAGTGTTCCCTTCTTCCCTCCCCCAAACTGGCCCAGGACTCACTCTTTTAAGGATCAAGTGCAGGAATGGGCAATCTCTGGAATCGGCAAAAATATGTCAGGTCTTAGTTCTCATTCCAGGGATCAGATACAAAACCAAACTCCCGTCTTCCACTAAGGTCTAACCACAGATTCCATCCCACATTGTTGACAGGACATGAGATCAGCAGTGTTCAGTGCAAATCCACTTGGCTGCTCTTCAGGGGTATTGAGCATTCATCGCTTCTCTCACAATATGGCTGCCAGTCAGAAAAAACTCATTTACCAGAAGATGTGCTGGTGAGACTGTCTTGGAGTTTGACACAAAAGGTTGGTTCCACTTCCCTGGATGCCTCCCAAAAGAGGCCAAGCAGGGAGTGCTTTAATTTGGATTCCTGCACTAAGCACAGGGTGGGACTGGCTGGCCAAAATGGCCCTTCCAACTTGATGAACCACATCACCCTCTGCATTTGCCCAAGAGGCTGCCTTACCACCTTAGCTGGCCTGCTCTTTTTTCTTTTTCTAGACAGATGGACACCATCCAACCTGAGCACTGGACTGCAGAAGCCCACTTTTTATTTTCTACAAGTTCCACTGGGATCTGTGTGAAGTCCAGAAGCATTCTTGAAGGTAATGAGGCCAGCTTCCTTGTGAAGAAGATCCCCAAAGAATATATTCATCTTTTTTTCTACACTACATTGAAACATCAACTTTAGCATGGAGGACAGAACAAGCAGGAGAAAAGAGCCTTGCTCATACATACGGTTTGATTTATTGCTTCTGAATCCATGCCTGGTTTCGAGATGGTGAGGTCAAAAGTGTACTCCACGTCTGCTTCCAGCAAGGCTCGAGAGATGGTGACAAGTCCTCCTGTGGCACTGAGGTTGAGACCACACATTCCAGGTGAATTCTAGTTTGTGTAAGGACAAAGAAGGAGAAATCCTCAGAGCCTGAAGAGGGTTAACTGTGCCACTAGTCAGATCCAAGGTGAGCTTTAGCCTGGGCCCACCAAGCCCCTCCATTACCGTCCTGTTTCATAGAATAAAACACGAGTTCACCCCAACTGTAACTATTTCCAACATCTCTGTGTGCGTAGCTGAGTGGAGAAAACTTCCAAGACAAGACTGCCTTCAACGGACAATTCCAGAGCAGTCTTTGAAATTAGTACAATAAGTATAATAAACAATTCTGCCATATATGCCTTTGATGCTCAATTCCTAATGTTGGGAAGATGGAAGGGATAGAAAGACTAGGAACATCCTTAAATCAAGCATACCCTAGTCTCCCCCTGCCCCAAAGAAGGAAGCAAGACCCCAAATGAAATATATTGGTTATAAGCAACCCATCTGGATTATACCAGGTTGGGGAAGGCAAATTTAAATTAAAACATTTTCATAAACTAGACCATGTCCAGAGGAGACCCACCAAAGTGTTAAGTGGCCTGGAACAAAACACTCATGAGAAGCACTGGGTGTGCTCAGGGTGGAGATGGGAGGACTGTGGGAAGACATAACAGCTGTTTCAAACATCTGGAAGGTGTCATGTTTGGAGGTGTTCCAGAAGACAGCAGGATATGAAAGAAGGGGTTTAAATGAAAAGGAAGTTGATTTGGGTTGGACATCAGGAAAAATGTCCCAGCAGTAAGAGCTGTTCACCAGTGGGACGAGCTGCCAAAGGAAGCGGCAGACCTGACTTCTCAGAAGATGTTTCAAAAGAGGCCAGACGACCGTTTGTCAGGATTCCTGCAGGGGTTGGACTCAATGACCTCAAAGGGATCTTCCAACCTTTACATTCTATGATTCTATAATTTAGAATTATGATTTAACTCAGCAAGAAAAAAATTACTGAACTAAATCAAGTATCCCACTGATATGCCGTCAAGTCATTCCTGATCTACCGTGCCGATCTACCTCGTAAGCCACTTTAACCAATTCACAGTCAAATATTCTCAGCTAGGTTTGCATCCTTCTGTGGTCCTCTGTTCTGAACACTCTCCTCTCTTCTTGCTCTCTTTCAAAAAATCCCCACACTGGGCCTTTCTTATCCCCCCCATCTGCAAAGTTAAACAAGGGAATGCAGACACTTGCTCCATGTGTTTTCTCTCAGACTTTCTGGTTCTGCTCTGCCTTGAATGAGCCCCAGATGCTCACAACAAGGTAGCAAACCAACAGAAACACAACTCCCGCAGCTGAACAGAAGAGGCAGCAGGGCAAACTGGAGTGCTGGCTCTCACCCGGTGAAAAAAAAGCTTTCTGGGAGGCAGAATGGAGGCATTTCTACCAGGAAATGAGCGGGAAGCGATTCTTCGTTTACAGAGCAACTCAACCTGCCTAGTAAAGGCATTGAAGCAGATGAGGGATGATTCACTGGGCTAGCGCTCACATTCTTCAATGAGAACTGTGGTATTTAAATTTAAAGAAATAAACAACCACATTTAAATTCCAAAATATCCAATGTATAAAAAGAAAAAAAGTCTAACGGTCTTAAAGAGCCAGTTTGGTCTAGTGGTGAAGGCAGCAGGCCAGAAAGCTGGAGACGGTGAGTTTTAGTCCCACCCTAGGTATGAAAGCCGGCTGGGTGACTCTGGGCCGGTCCCTCTCTCTCAGCCCCGCCCACCTCACAGGGTTGTTGTTGTTGGGAAAAGAGGAGGAGGACAGAGTATTAGGTATGGTCGCCGCCTTATTTATAAAAATAATAAAGGTGGGATAAAAAAATCTAAAAAGAAGATTACTAGTAGGTGGATTTCAGGTGAAAATCAGCAGACGCTTCAACAGAAAGAGCATGTTGTGCGTGAGACCGAATACAGAGGCGCGGATAGGCTGGATTTCTTGCACTGAGCTGGGGCTGGGATTGAACGGCAAGGACCACTAGCAGTGGGTTGGAGTCACAGGCCAGCAACTGGCAACCTTGAGCCACCCTGATTCCTGGTGCCACGTGCTTCACGACCTGTGGCCAAGGTCATAGCAGAAGTGGTGGGGCACATGGGATTACGGGCTAGCCAACCCCATGCCGTAACTTTCCAAAGGGGCTGATGGCAAAGCCAGATCCTGACTACGCATTGAGCGGGGTGCAGAATCCCTCTCCTGAGAGCAGGCGTTCAATGCCCAGGCTTACTTACTTTGGAAGACGATACACAAGACCAGCGATAATGTAATGGTGTCTGCTCCCAGTCTTCCCAGTTAGGGTCATAGGATTTCTCGCCATCCAAGACCAAGTCCCGGGTACTGGACCACACACGGTACGATCCTCCATCGATGATGGGTACCAGTTTATTGGGCAAAACAGTCACATTGGCAAAGATGCTTTTGGACAGAGGCGTATCGCCAAAAGAGACTAAGAATTTGAAGCAGTAGTTGCCCAGTTCCAGTGTAAGTTTGGGGATGACCAACTGTGGTCGGCTCACATCCACACTGACCAGCCGGACTTTGGCAAAAGCCTCTAGTTGTAGGCAGCTTGGGGCTTTGTAGATCTCCCAGAGATAGGCAGTCTGGTACCTGGTGCAGCCTCGCAAATCAATCTGTGCCTCCAAATAATTCTTCTGGGATCTCTTCATAAACACCTGAGCAGGTAAAGCAAGCTCTGCTTCTGGTTCCTCGCACTCCAGGACTCGGACTGTGACTGTGCGGTGGGCGATGGAAAAGCTGATAAGGTTGGTCGCATTCACCTCCACTGCATAATCGCCAGGCCTCAGATAAACATGGTTCACAGATGGCATGCTTGTTTGCTGAGCTGGAGAACCATCCCCAAAATACCACCAAAACAGGACTTCCCTGGCACTGGGCAGCACAGATGCTTCAAAGGAAGTTGTCCGGTTGACAAAGGAATCAACGGGCTGGATGAAAAGTTGGAGGATGAAATCTTGGACTTGAATCACTACGGTTACGTTCAGGCTGCCCAAACTGTTGAAAGCACACAGATGGATGTCTAACTGCCCTGCTGCTTCTGGGGTATAAGAGACACTTTGGCCTTCTAAATGAACCTGGGAGCGTTGCTGTTCTTTTACTAAGGTGAATTGCCATAAATAAGATACCTGTGAGCCACTCTCAGTCTGAGCCATGAATTGTTTTTCCACCCCAACAGGCATGCCTCGCTCACAGCAATCGGTAATCCGGAGGCCACGGACAGCCTCCAGCACCACAATAAGTTCCTCAGCGTAAGCCACACTTACTTGATTTTTTGCAGTTACTCTCACTAAGTACTCTCCGACCTGGCTGAACTTATAGGTGAAGCTGGAAGTACTGAGGATCTCAGAATAATTACGCCCAATGGTGACCTCATAGCTCACAGAGGAACCAGAAGCCATTTCAATAACAAAAGAGACCAGTTCTCCTGGCCCCAGCACTTCCTTGCTCACTCTGAGCTTCAGACCCTGGATTGCATCCTGCACCGTCAGGTTGAGGCAAGTTACCTCCCAGCTGATGTCATTAGAAGCATTCAAACAGACAGGGAAAATTCCTGCCGCAGGAAAATCGAGAGCCACCCTTTGACCTGATATGGTTTTATCCTGCATCTTCCACGTCCAGACTACGTCAGATCCGCTTTCAAGCTCCCCAGCGAAGTTCACCACAGTGCCTGATTCCACAAAACTACTGTTTGGCCTTATGATCGTAATCCTTGGGCCGACTACTGGTTCCTGTACGTATACCACAAGGGATGCACTGGCAGAACCAAACTTGTTTCCTGCCACCACAGCAATGATTTGGGCACCTGGATTTGGGAAACGGTGTGTGATGGTACTGGAGATGGTGCAGAGAGAGAGACCGTCTTCGAAGTACCACGTATATACCAGTCCACTTCCAGCGGTGACACTGGTGCTTATGTTAACAGATGCATTGACCGCAGCAGGATTGGGGGAAGCGGATGGCTTTAAGACACCGACCTCCTCAACGAACTCCACAGTCTTGTTCACGGCCAAACTTCCCAGCATATTTGTGGCTTTCAGATGGATAGCAAAGGCACCTGCTTCCAGAATGACTAAGGAAAATACCTTCCCAGCAGATGTTTGCACAGGGAGGCTTTCCTTCAGGACAGTCCAGCTGTAAGAGATGTTTGTTCCATCTCTCACAGTTGCTTGCAGCTGCAGCGTCTTATTGGTGGGGAAGTAAATGTTGTCCATGAAGTCACCACCTGTGATCTGCAGCCCTTCTATCTGCTGCAAGACATAGATGAAGATGCTACTCTGCAAACACCCAATCTCATTCTCTGCTGTCACAATCACATTGAATGTCCCAATAGAGCGAAACGTGTAGGAAATGGTAGAAAGGCCCGGGATAGGAGTGCACCTATCGCACAAGATCCAAGAGTACCGGATGGCGGTGCCAGCCAGGAGGGTGGCTGTGAAACTCACAGAACCATTCAGAGGCACCACAGTCCTGCTGGCATTGATGTTCAGGCCCTGGAGGCGCCTCTTCACGGTCACATTAAGCTTTGCCTCATGGAAGCTCACCCCATTCCAGCTTTTCAAACTGATGGTATAGGTACCACTTCTGTTGTAAGAATGGGTGATGAATTTGCCCAACTGGGAAGTCCCATCCCCAAAGTCCCACAGATAACTAACTTTGGTCCCAGTAATATTGGCTGAGAAGAGATAGACTTGGTTCAGCTCCAAAATCTTTGAGCCATTCGACTCAATCTTGGCTATCCCAACTGGCTCCCGGACTTCCACTAACGCTGAGACATTGTTGAAAGAGACATTGTTGCAGACAGTCACCATAACCAGATAGACACCTGGACTTCTGTAGGTGTAGCTCACTTCAGTTCCACCAAACCTGGCCGAATCATTAGCCCCAAAGTCCCAAAGATAACGGTAGTGGTAAGGTGGCAAGGCTGTGACTTGGAATCTGCTCTCATTGCCAAGCCTCACAACTTCTGGCCTTACAGAAAGCGTCACATTGGTGATCTCTGGCTCCACGCAAATCTCCGTGTAATACTGTGCTTTGTTGACCTTGCTGGAAAGGACCAAAGACAGTGAGAAGATTCCACTGAGGGTGAAGTTGTGCACCACTGTTGGATTTCCATACACAGTGATGTTGGACGAGCCATCACCAAATGTCCAGTCAAAAAAGTAGTTTTGGGGGTTACCTGAGACATGAGCTATGAGTTGTACTTCGGGGTCTTCTCGGATACAAGAGGAAGGCTCAATCTTGAGCACCATCAGGACAAATATCTGGACAGGCACAGCTCGGGAAAGAGAATTTACTGGATTCATTGCAGTTACATTTACTGTGCAGTTCATCTCCTTTAAATAACTGTGTTTCACAGATGCCACAGGACTCTCCACAATCGTCCCATCGCCCATGTCAAATATCCAAGTGATATTATCGCCTGTTTCCACAGAGGCACTTATCTCAATCGGTGTGCGAAGCTCTATGGTTTCATTCAAGGACACCCACAACCCACTGATCTCTTCAAAGACCTGGTAACGCTGCAATGTCGCAACAGTGCTAACGGTGTTGTTTGCCTGTAGGCTAACTTCGTATACCCCCCTGGAATTGTAGGTGTGGATTACGGTAGTCTGGCTTTCCACAAATGCCTCTGATCCATCCCCAAAATTCCAGGTATAAGAGACTCCATAGCCCGAGGGCATCACTTGAGCTTCAAAGGTGACAGGATGGCCCACCACCAAAACATCGGTGGCTACTTGCACTGCCACTTCTGTTAGGTAGGCGTAGACGTGGACAGGGGTCGAATAGGTCAGGTTCTCAAATTCATTGGAGACTACAACAGTCAGGGTGTATTCACCTGCATGGGAAAATTAAAGAAAAAAGAATGAGAACCATTCATTCCTATAATTTTCCCAATGGACAATAAATAAGAGGTCAGAATTAAAAACCAACCCTGCTGAATTCACATAATGTGCTATGCCCAAGCAGGAAAACCAGACCACGGTTTCATGGGATGGCCAGTTACCTCAACACAAACGACCCAATCCTTCAGTCTTGTCTAGCTTGCCAGGCAAACCCAGCCAATGTGTATTTCCCCTCCTTTCAACCATGCCATAAGTTGCCACCACTTATTATTAAACTTATTGTTAAACGGTTGGCCAAAGCACCCTTGATGCTGTGCTTCCTTCCCCTTCGCCCCCGTGATGCTTTGCAATGAAAGGGGCCTTTGTCAGGCATGGATGCAGCCTGAAACATAGCTTAGCCCTTCGTGTTGACAGCAGGAAGGAGGACTTATTGATTTCTAATAAGCCCCTTTTTCTTCTCCTGCTCCAGATGCTCTGTCTTCCCTGGGATCAGAGACTGGCTCAAAACCATTTGATTCTTTGCCTCAGGTATGACAAGCTGAGATGACAAATAATTCCCCCGCTCCCCACCCCAGCTGAGCCACACATCAAACTGCAACTGTCCCTCGCAGAAAGGAAAAGACAGAATTGGATGGATGAATGCAAAGAGAGAGAGAAACTGTCCATCACAGCAGAAAGGGCATTGACTGAGCACGTAAGTTTCTTCTTCATGGTCTTTTTCTTAGCTCAGCATTTGGAGCAGGTTGGTTGTATTTTCATGTTATCTGAGAAGTTTATCTATTGGAATTCTTGTTTATTGGCATTGAGCACTGCTTCTCTTCTCTGGAACAACATCCTCCAAGTCTTGACTTGCCCCAAGTTTGGAGGACTAGGAAGACAATCAAAGCTGGATTACTTCAGCAGGCCTTTTTTTGGGGGGGGGGATGAATTAAGAGAGATTCCTCCTACCTATGAATATATGATGCTATAGGTTTTTATGGCTCCTCAGGAATATTTAATAAGTAATGTTTATTACTTTTTGGTTCTATTTCTTAGTTGTTTTAATTCTGTTTACGCATGGTAGGATTGTAAACTCCTCAGAGTTAGTCAATTATGAGAGTAACATAATAAAGCCTATTATTATTAAAGTCTAATAAAATAAATGAACAAATAAATCTGCTCAGCATCTCTGAATCTGACTATGTGTAAAAGAACATACATGAAAATCTCATGAGAACCCCCAAAATTGCCAATTGCAAATGCAGTTTGATTGGCAGCATCGGTTTTCTATAAAATGTCCTAGACTTCCCAGAAGAGACAGCTCTTCCTTCTCCTTCCAAAAGCCTGAAAGTTGCCCTAACTGAAGTTTCCCTAAAGTTTCTGTGGGAGGCAACACCCCAGATGACTGCCTATAAAGTCCTACTGACACCTAACCAAGGGACTCACACTAATGTTGAAAGTATGTTTTTCATTAAATTCGCACTTAGAAGAGTAAACAGGATCAGGAGTGTCTGCCGGAAGATCAAAAATATCAAGACAGTGGTTGCAATTGCACAAATGAAGCCACCATCTTGACTTTTTTGACCCCTCCCCACCAACGTCCCGAATAGGATGTTTAATTCCACCCATTCATCATCAAGAAATCTGAGAGCTATAAATGGACCGCAGCTAATTAGCGCACACAAGGATTTACATTTTATTTCCATTTTTATATGTAACTGTAAAATGCTGATCAAGATCAAGATAGATTAAAAAGAGCTAAGTACAGATTTGCATTCAGGAACCCATTATTTTAAATTCAATCACCATCCCTACTCGCTTATAAAGTAATTCAAGCACTCCAAAATGTAGAAGCGTAAGCTAAGGGAATGCCTTACATCTTCTATCCTTTCAGAAATTGTGCCTACTGACAGTGGGGCCTTCATCTCCCCATATTCTGTTTCACTTCTTTAATCATAATTTTCCTTTTGCTGCTGAGAAAACCAAGGAAACCAGGCCAGAAGGGGAGCCAGCAGCTCCCCTCTTTCTCTCTCCCCAAAACACAGCAGCATATAAAGCACAAATAAATATGCAGCGACACACAAGCCCACAGACAGACAAATAAAGACAGGTAGCTTATATGCAGGTTGCAAAACCACAGTCAGCAACGCACGATGCTGGCTAGTACGGCAGCCAAGGTTATTTTGCAAAAACAAGCCTCGGGGTGTCAGACCATCTTCACAATGCCAAATTCCTCTCCTGCCCCGGTTCAGACGTAACAATCTTGGGCTATGGATACTGCCTGTACGTGCTCCCCACTCCCTTCTTGCTAAACCCAATTTCTCCTATCCAAACCAGGAAACTGAACTTTAGTCAGTTCAGAATATATGAACCAGAGTTATGACTGATATCATTGCAAGGGTTACAGAAGGGCCACCTGAGGACAGCAGGATAGTCACCAAATGTGATGAAGAGAAAGAAGGACGAGAGGAGGGTGGTGCTGCTGGAGCAGGTAGCGAGAAGAACAGGAAAGAAGAGAAAGGAGAGAGAGCAGCAAAGAAAGTGAGCCATTTCAGCGATGAAAAGAGGCGCATTGTACGCTGGGCGTGCATACCTGAGGCCTTGGACTACCCGTGAACCTGAAGGCCTTTGGCGCTGCCACCAATTCTAGCTTTAAGTGGAAAAGACAGTTGGTGCTGGAGGAGCCCTTGAAGGGGATCGAAGCTTTAATGAAAAAGTTCAAAGAATCTGGTGCTGTGGCTGGTTTTAAAATTAATAAACAAAAGACTAAAATGTTAACGAAAAATATGAGAACAAGAAGAACTGATGAACAAAACGGGTTTTAAGGTGGGAAAAAACGTTAAATATTTGGGGGTGAATTTGACAAATAGGAACTGTATGTTGTTTCAAAATAATTATGTTAAGACTTGGAATGAAATTAAAACAGATATGTTAAGGTGGGGAAAATTGCAATTGTCATTGTTGGGAAGAATTTCAGCAATTAAGATGTTTTACCTAGAATGTTATGACAACTGATGTTCCATTTAAACAATGGCATAAAGATATACCTAAATTTGTGTGGCAAGGTAAAAAACCACAAATTAAGTACAAAGTTTTACAAGATGCTAAAGAAAGAGGAGGTTTAGGTCTCCCGAATTTGAAGGCGTACTTTGCAGCTCGTTGCTTAGTTCGGATGAAAGAGTGGGTGACTTTGAGAAATAGGAGGTCATTGGGGCATGACTTAAGATTTGGGTGGCACGGCTATTTATGGTACGATAAACGTAATGTAGATTTTAAAAATGATTTTATTAGATGTGCCATATTGAGAATATGGAACAGATATAAATTTACGTTGTCTCCAAAGATTCCTTTATGGTTGTCACCACAAGAAGCTTTTTATAGAAGAGAAATGATAACTAAAAATAAATGGTTAACATGGTGATGTACTGGAATTTTTGTCTCCAAAGATTCCTTTATGGTTGTCACCACAAGAAGCTTTTTATAGAAGAGAAATGATAACTAAAAATAAATGGTTAACATGGTGATGTACTGGAATTTTCTCAAAGGGATTTTAAATTAAAGACAAGAGAGGAATTGATATCAGAAGGCTACATGTGTCAATGGTTTTCTGATGTACAATTACAAGAAAGATTTAAACAAGATAAAAGGACATATGGTTTTGAATACAGTAAGACTGAATTTGAAGCAGAATCATGTACTAACGATGAACATATTATTGCGAAGATGTGTGAACTTTTACTGAAACTAGAGACAGAAGATGAACATGTTAAGGACTGTATGATAAAATGGGCTAAAAATGTTGGCTACAACATACAGATGGAACAATGGGAAAATATGTGGCAGAAAGGACCAAAATTTACATTGTGTTATAACTGTAAAGAGAATGTTTATAAAATAATGTATCGTTAGAAGATGAACATGTTAAGGACTGTATGATAAAATGGGCTAAAAATGTTGGCTACAACATACAGATGGAACAATGGGAAAATATGTGGCAGAAAGGACCAAAATTTACATTGTGTTATAACTGTAAAGAGAATGTTTATAAAATAATGTATCGTTGGTACTTGTCACCAGAAAAATTATCTAAAATGTATAAAGGTACTTAGAACGTATGCTGGAAATGTGAACAACAAGAAGGGACATTTTATCATCCCTAGTGGACTTGTAAAAAAGCAAATTCTGGAATGAGATACATATCTGTATACAGAAGATTTTAAAGATTAATATTCAGTCAAAACCAGAGACCTTCCTTTTGGGTTTGGTGGATACACAGTTGGAAAAAATTCACGGAACTTTGTTTTTATATATGATAACAGCAGCAAGGCTCTTATATGCATAGGGATGGAAAGATAAGACGTTACCTACAGTGGAATAACGGATGGTGAAGTTGATGGAGTTGGCTAAGATGGCGAAATTGACAGCTTTGATTTGAGATAAGACATTATGTAATTTTAATGCTAACTGAAAACCATTTTTGGACTTTTTGCAGGAAACAGAAAAAAATGAAATTATGTTGTATGGATTTGATGATTAGAAATAATATGGGTTAATAGAAATAATGGAATGCTAACTGAAAACCATTTTTGGACTTTTTGCAGGAAACAGAAAAAAATGAAATTATGTTGTATGGATTTGATGATTAGAAATAATATGGGTTAATAGAAATAATGGAAGTTACATTTTAAATTTAGAGTAAGAGTTTGATGTATATTGTTACTTATATCTATTGCAAGGAGAGTCAGAAGTCAATTTTTTTTCTTTTGTTGTTTCTCTCTTTTTCTTTTCTTTTCTGCACTTTTGATCTTTACTATTTTCTTTTTTCCAATTTTGTTTTTCTTCTTAGTCTTTCTCTCAATATTAGTTTTTGTTAGTTTTTACTGTTCCTTTTTTTTAAAATTAGTAAAGTTATTATAAAAAAATAAATGGAACAGATAGTTATTAATTATTATGGGAGAAATCCTATTAAGAGATTTTAACTTAAATCCAATGCAGGTTTCATCCTGATCCTTCCACTTCTTTGAACTGGTCCCCTCCCCTCTTCCCCCTCCTCCCAAATATCTGTGCATGGTTTACTTGGTTGTAATTTCCTGAACAGACCTCAATTGCTGGCTTCGTACAACAGGCTAAATACAACCCAGCTGTCTACTTTATGACTTAGTCCCATGTGTGAATGTAGAGAGCAGGGACTACGGAAAGAGGAGGAACAGGCTTTAGCAAGGAGTCCAATTTCTGGAGTTAGTGTGGATCCAAGGGGTGAAATTGTGCCTTGAGCCAGATTAATGACAAACCAGAAAGAACAGGAGGGGAATTTATAGTGAACAAGTCAAGTGTGTCTTTTGTTTTCCTCCACAGGCATTCAGATGCATTTTGACACCAGCAAAAACACTGAACAGAAGGTGTGAGCTTAAAAAAAAGGGAATGAAGGGAGAAATAGTTACTGGAAGAGTAGGGTAATATGACTAGAGCTATGGACAGGACTGAGTCAGAGGGTCAGCTGGTAGAGTCTAAAGAACATGAAGCCACAACAGGAAGAGGAGTACAAGACTTCGGAGAAATCTTTAAAGAAAGTAAGTGAGAAGGGATGGCAGATGGAGGATGAAGAAGTAAGGGAGGATGGAGGTAAGGCTGAAGAGGTAAGGCTGAGGAGGAAAAGTGAAGACACAGCATTCTTGATAGAAAATAAAATCACAAGCAAATCAAGAGCTCGGTCTGCACTTCATTTCATGCTTGCAATGTATAAATCAAAACATTTCTGTGCCTGTTGCTAAAACGTTATCTATCAATTATAGTCATGATAGGCTAGCTGACAAGGACTGTGGGGCATAATATTATGGGAGCACTTCTGGAGAACAACTTGAGAAGGTTGGGCTGAGGGCTCCTTGTCAACATCTTGGTTATTTAACAGCTACGCAGAACTGCTAGGAGAGGCTACTCGGGGTCCAGAGGTTGCTGTCATCAATTCTTTTCTTTCTGATAAATTCCACAGATGTTGCCAGGGTCTTGTACCATTGTCTGGAGACAGCCAAGCTTTAGATATACAGTAGATTAAGAACAAACTAGGATGCTCATGCTTCACTCAGCTGCCTTGGAATTGCAGTTGTCTGTGGCCAAGCATAACTTTGCTCCCTATTTGGAAATCATAAGGTGAAATGTATCTTTCCTATTCTGTCCAGTTTATCACAAGAAGATATGGCAGAGTTGGCTCTGAACAGGCTTGGAAACTCTATCTTCTGCTGTAGGGTAATATCAAGTGCATAACCTACCAATATAACAGATGGCATGGTAGCTAACAGAAAAGTACATGGGGCTAATAAGATCAGAAGGTTTTTTATATCAGCCTTTGTTATTGCTATGTTTATCCCTGAAGATGAGTTTCCCAACCAGAAGTTCATCAGTGAAACTACAGCCCTATCATCTCGCTGGCCATGAACAGAGTACCAGGTTGGAAAGGCTGCTGCGGATGAGACACTATCAGTATTCAGTGGATATGCAGATTGCTAGAAGCGTGGATCCTACTTGGTTTTAATTTCAAATACCCAAATAATTTCTCACCTGGGTCTTGGTAGATATGGGATACATTGTGCCCAATTAACACCTGGTGGATCCTAGGATCTGGCTTCAGGAAGGATTCATTATAGGGAGGATGAAACTCAGAAATGACTTGGTCACCATCACCAAAGTCCCACCTGGGGAGTCAGAAAATGACAAGGTCAGTAGAAGAGCAAAGGGTAAGTTCAATGCACTTTTCTGGCCAGAGTAGAAAAGACGCTTGCAAAGGGAAACAAATTCACACACACAGTTGTCTGTAATTTTCATCAAGCCCAAAGTTTTGAAGTGTTTATTATTACTGAGAGAGGTCAAAGAGAAGTAAAATGTACAAAATGACATTAGCACACACTTGCTAATTCCCCATCCCCTTTCTCTGATTTGGTCTCCTAAAGTCCATAACTTGTACACGTATCATTTGCTTTTAATTCTGAGGCTTATGGGAGGACATCTGCTGGCATTCCTAAGTTGAAAAAGTCAAGAAAAAGTGGGGTTGAGAAGTAGAGTGGCTTCGCCAGATGAACCAAACCCCTGGGTGGCACCCCCTCACCCCCCCAAGACATGGATGCAGCCCTCAAAGTTCCTTCAGAATTTGCCATATGCTGGAACTTTTAGCATGTCAGAAATAGATAATTACTACATAGACAGGAGTAACCCTATTAGCTATGCAGAATTAATTTAATGTAATGTTACTGTTTTCTGGTGGCCCACAAGCTTCTTTGTTGGACTATTTGGAGTACCGCTCCCGACATATCACTCAAAGGCCAAGGGCCACTCTCAACTCCCCCACCCTGAAATTGTGTCCCACTGGCACAGAAAGGGTTTCTACTTAAAGTCCATTGGAGGAGAACTGTCTTAGTCTGTGGCAGCCAAAAATCAGGAGTCCAGTAGCATCATAAAAGCTTCTTCCTTGTAATAAAATTTGTTAGTTGGAAAAACTGCTATTAGACTCCTGCTGACTGTCTGTTTCAGACCCAGATTCCTTGCAGCAAGGGGCTCCACCAGAATGGGCCAAATACACCAGTCTGGGCCAAATTACACATATTGTAAGGATTGGAAATTTCCTTGGACTCACCCAGAAATTCACTGACCCTCAAGATTAACTTTTTCTAGCATTGGCTCAGGTCAGTCTCATTTCTGTTGAGCGTCAAGGGTGGGGATATCAAGCCTGATTTTTAGTCCTGGTCCTGCCAGCATCTTTGTTTAGGCATTGACAACCGCTACATTTTACAGTTCTCCCAAAGCTCAAAAAGAAACCCTTTGGGATGCAAAGAATCTTACAGGATCTAGGCAAAACTGTTTTCCATTTGTAGCCCTCCAATGTTTTCCCACAGCCAAGATCCAGTAAGAAGGGAAAACCAGGTACTTGCGCAATGGTTACATTCTCACATTGCACTAAGCCATGGTTTACCTGAACATAGGCACAGTTGGTTCAGTTCACGCATCACACTAAACCACAAACCATCTATCATTGGCTGGGTTCACACAACCGAAACTCTACTATGGGTTAGTGCAGGAGTGAGCCAACATTTAGCATTTATATAAGTTAATTCTGGCAGCATGATTTCAGACTGCTTTTTGAGTTCTGGGGTGGTTTTAGAGGTGGTCATGATAGCAGTATGATTATATAACCGATCTACCTATTTAAGAGCCTCCATATATTTATCCAGGCAATGCATAGTTAGGGTTGTGGAGTCCTTGGAGTTCTCCGAGCTTGGCTGTATTCTTGCAAACGTTTCATTACCCAGCTAGGTAACATCTTCAGTGCTAGAATAGAGTGGGGTTTACTCTCTGTTTATATACAGTGGCTTGCCCTGCCAGTGTTGATGGGGGTGGGGGTTTATTTCTATTTTTTTCTTCTCCTGGTAGTTCTTTGATTTGGGTATTGTTTACTGCTGATTGTATGCCTGGTGATAATCTTGGTGTTAATCTCTGTTTATCTGGGTGATGATTGCTGGACAATCAAGCAGTAAACAGTACCCTAACCAAGGAACTACCAGGAGAAGAAAAAAATAAAAATAAACCCCCACCCCCACCAACACTGGCAGGGCAAGCCACTGTATATTATCAGAGAGCAAACCCCACTCCATTCTAGCACTGAAGATGTTACCTAGCCGGGTAACAAAACGTCTGCAACAAAACAACCAAGCTCAGAGAACCCCAAGAATTCCACAGTTCAACCCTAAGCTACACATTTTCACTTCTATTGATAGCTAGGATTTGCATAGTATATTTTTAAAAACCTGCATCTCTCAAAGGGCATTTCTACTGGTGTTTCTGGACCACTCACTGGCCTGAATGCTGGGGAAGGATGTATTTCCCCTTCTTGGATTGCCTGGGAGCAGAGCCCAGCCAGCCAAAGAGGCAGTGGAAAAACTCACAGAAATGTGGCATCGATGGCCGAATCCACAGTCACGGTTGCTGCTAGTTCCACGGTGCTGTTCTGAGGAACATGTGGCAAGATCTCTGAGACCCTGAGGTCCTTCATCCTGTTCATCTCCTCCACAGTGATGTTGTAGCATACAGTGACACTGCTGACATTGTTCGAGGCTGTAAGCTGGAGAAAGCACAAACTACTTTGCCACATCACTCCACCAATACAGAACTGGAGGCATTTGCTGATTCATAATTTTCATAGTACTTTTTCCCTCCAGATCACCAGGGTGATTACAGATCACACTCTGCCTCTTTTCCCTTTTCACTTTCACTTACACTGCATGAACTGCCCCTCCTTTCAATCACTTTTCACAACCCAGAGTAGCATCTTGGTTAGAACACTAAACTAAAATCAGGGAAAATGATATGAAGATTTCCATTGTGCCATGAAGATCCCTGGATAACCTGGGACAATTGTTCTCTCTCATCTTAACTATCATTGATCAGGTGGGGACCCCTTCCTGGAACTTCAATCAGAATTAGCTCAGTCCAGTTCAGTGTCAAGCCATCCTGGGCCAAAGTAACAAACGACATCTCATGGGCCCCTGAAATATCATGAAGAAAATGTCGATGATCTAGGCAAGCGAGGGTATATAAACTCAAGCTTGTTGAGGCCTAAAGCGGTAGAATTAACCTGAGACAGCCAAGACCATTAGCTCTTATCAGTTGCCCATTATGGCTTGGAGGTTTAACAAGACAAAACAGTTTGTATCAGCTGAAACAAAATTACAGTCTATTAGGTGCATTAATTAAACTTGTGCTTCTTTGGGCCATAGAAGCAGTCTTATCCTTGGCAGGTTAAAAAAATGAAACAACTATTGGGGGTCACAAGGGAAGAATCCCACCACTGACAGGGATTCCTTGCAGAACACCTGCCTGCTGGGAGCAACAATACATTCCGGATTACAAATCAAGCTTGGCAAAATCATCTTTGCCACTTGGAAGGACAGAAGGACAAACACACAGTTTACTGACACGCAATTCCACTGTGCAAGAGGACACCTTAAAAGAGAATCAGTAGTTTTTCCCCACAGTTCACAAAAGAGGGACCACAGGAGGCCCTTACTTACCGACAGCTTGTACACAGCAGGTGACTGGTAAAGAACATGGAAGACATTGTTGTAGAACGTAAAGGAGATCTTATCATCCAGCCTCCAGCTAAACGTGACATCCGACCCTGCGTCCATCACAGGAATGTAGCTCTACAGTGGAGGGGGACAAACAGTGATTTCAAAGGGAGCAACCATTGTCCATATTTCACCAATCCTGGCCAGGCTCAAGGGCTGGTAGCTGAGCCCTCTCATCAAGTCATTTTCCCTGAGAAGGAGACCACCGCCTTGACCGCAAAAGAAGCAAATCTGACATCCAGCCTCCTGCTGCTGTCCAGGCTGGGCTACAGCCACAAGGACTCTCCAGCAGAAAGAGGGGATGGACTTTGCGGGGGCAGGCCACTGTGTTGCTTTGGAGGCTGGAAAAGGTGAGGCCATTCTAGATGCAGAAAAAGGAGCATGTTTTCAGGACTGAGTAAGAATTTCTCCTGAGCATCTTAAGAACTGAATTCTGATGTGACTATCTGCATTCTCAGGTACTTGCTGCTCTCTGAAGTTGGTTTTCCTCCTAAAAATGCTTTATCACTACCTAGGTAACATCATCAGTTCAGCCTTGAGCTACATGTATTCTCACTATTGCACGCATTCCTTAAGTTGCTCCTTCATTTCAAACCCACAAAATTTGGATCACTTAAAAAAATCTGCTTTACATTTGAAAAGGATTAAAAACCTAAACTGATGCTTACTGTCCCTTGGTGCACATTGGCAACTGATGACTCACCACGCGGTTGTTCTGCAGGACTCTTGTCTCTGGGTCTGGGGTCACACGGAGTCCTCGGATGGCGTCCTCTGCTTTCACCCTGACAGTGATGTTCTGTGAGCTCACGGCATTCTTCGCCCATAGCACAACAGTGCTCAAATTATGCCCAATGCCCTCCAGCAGGATTACGGAGTACCACGTGTCATTGGTTTCCCTTGCACACTCTGCTACCAGTGGAGTAACTGCTAGGGGGCAACTCCGTCCAAAGGAGAAGCTCTGGTTTCCCCCCAGCCACCCAGATGTTGCGTTCATCCCAGAAGAGATTTTCACCACCAGCCACGTGCTATTGCTTTCCACGTAGACTTTGCCACCTTGTTCCTGAGGGTAAATGACACGGAGGCCCGACACTGCAGAAAGAGCCCAGAAGTCACAGGAGAAGTTCCTCCTGAAGACCCCATTGTTCACTGTGGCGCGCACAGCATAAAGGCCAGGGTGGTGGACCTTGGAGTTGTTTTGTTCAAGAAGTGGGACAGTTTCTTCAGCAGCCAAAAGGATCCTGAAAGGGCACAGGGAATCATTCTGCCAGCCTTTGGGAGTGGGATGGGCGGGCAGGCCTGGCTCCCAATCCAAGGAGTTCAAGGTGAAATAGCTCATCTGGGACGGTGATTTCTGGCTGGGGTGGCAAAGAAGGAAAGCGCCAGGCCCGGCATCATGCTGGACACTCACTGTATCGTTAGGTCTGACAAAGGAGTCCTTGCTTCTGAAGAACAACTATGGAAGAGACGTCACAGTGAGTTACGCTTTCCCATTAATAATTCCCATAATGCACCCCTCCCATTCATTACTTCTGAGCTAAGTATTGGAGGCAAGTGGGGGTGGGGGGTGGGGGCGGAGTGGCTTGACTGCAACTCTCCCCCAAGTCAGGCTGAGACACAACAGAAGCAGGCACTGGGTACAGGAGGTTGCAAATATGCAGCTCAGAGAATTTGGAAATCTTTTTGTGGAACAGGGAAAAAAGAAAGCAATTCCAGCCAACCAGTTCGCAGGAACATACAGGTAGTCCTCGCTTACCAACCATTCATTCAGTGACCGTCCGAACTTACGACGGTGCTGAAAAAAATAATTTTACAGCCCGTTTACAACCATTTATGACCTTCGCAGTGTCCCTCAGTTACGTGATCATCATTACAGTCAGTATGTGTCGTCCTGTGCCTGAACTGTTTTTTTTTTTCTTCCCCCTCCCTTGCACAGCAGAGAGATTGGAGAGGAAGGGATTGCAAGAAGGTTAGCTATTTGCTTTTCTACTCTTTCCTGCTGCCAGTGCAATCATGTTGCTCTTGATGTGTAGAACAGCAAACAGCTTACTCTCTTGAAATCAAGAGAAGAGAATATGTGTAGCTCTCTTGAAATCCCTTCTGCTCCACTCTCTCCGCTCTGCAGTAGGGGGGAGGATCAGGCAAAAGAGAGATTGCCTACAGAAATTGCTTGCTTTTTTTCTCCCCCTCCCCTGCAGAGCAGAGAGACTGGAGAGAAAGAAATGTCAAGAGAGTACTGTGAGCTGTTTGTGTAGCACCCCCATAGCTCCCAGCCCCAGACTGCGGTGCAATCGCATTGCTTTCAGTGTACAAGACAGCAAGCAGGCACTCCAGCCTTCCAAAGGAGGCAAACAAAAAGCTGAAGGTGTGAAACTGAGCAGTCTTGTCTCTTTCCAGCCAGAAAGCAGAGTCGCAGTCACGTGATTTCCCACTTAGTGACCACTTCGCTTAGTGGTGGAGTTGCTGCTTCCAATTAGGGTCGTTAAGCAACTCCACCACTAAGCAAAGTGGTCACTACCTGTATTCTTCCTCTCCTATAACACCAAATGGTGCTATCCAATGAAACTGATTAATGGGAGAATGGGGCAGTTAAAAACACATAATTAAATTCTGCAGCCCCGTGACCAGAACGAAACTCTAACTTGGATAGTTTCAGAAGTGGATTTAGGTGTCATCAGGGATGATTGGCTGTAGATGGCTCCTAGTTACGATGGCAATGCTGGAGGGCAACATCAAAGGCACAATTCTTTATCAGTGGCAGAGCAAGGTATGTGGGGTGGGGTGGGGTGGGGTGGGGTGGGGTGGGGGTGGGGATGCTGCACTCACATCCTACCCACAGGCTTCCCCTTGGTTCCTGCTAAGCTGAAGTGGCCTCTAGCCTGAACGAGCCTCAGGGCCCTTGCAATGCTCTGAAAGGCCCTTCTATCCTTTGCAGCCAGGATGACAGAGCACAATATCCATCCTTAGTTTTATCACTGCTGTTATTAGGAATTCTGAATAAGCTTAACAACTGATCAGCACTGAAGCTTTTCAAGAACATAAAGCACTCGTCATGCTGTTCCTTAACAACCTGTATTCACACCTCAGCCTTTGTCCCTGCATTCCGCAGCTCTACTTGCTTTCTGTTTCAGTTCCAGACTGGTTCAAGTAGCTCAGAACCTACAAAACAGACCCTGACCGCACCTCAATTCTGCCATGGACTCCCCACTTACAAGGTACCGTGTGGAGGGTCCGGGCGGCAATGTAAAATGCGATGTCTTAAGTTCCACGCTCCAGGATTTATTTTTGCAGGGGTGAGGAAGAGCAGCAGCCGCATGAGTTGTTGAGTTGGCACATGACTCCTGGTGGCAGCAGCTTCCTAGCGGTTGGCATGAGTTGGCCAAGTGACACCACTGGAGGCCAACTGGACAGTCCACTGGTGTCCAAGTCTCATTCTCTTGGGAGACAAGGAAGCGGTCAGTGACATTCGTGATCTCGTTGCACCCTGAAGGAAGGCAATAGCAAAGAATACTCCAGCTTTGTCTGAACCCCCTCCAGAGCAGAGGGGAATACATGTTTAATCTTTGCTCCTGAAAACTCCTAAGAGCAACTACGTGTAGGCAGAAAAGGCGGGAGGAGTTCCCCTCTTAGACACATGCACACACAGACACATATTCTCCCCAGTTTGCCTGCTGGAGCGTTAGAGCTTGCTTGACCTCCAGCTCACCAAGCATTAACAGAGTAGTGAGGAACATCTGTTTCCCCATTGTCTGCCCCCATTTATTCTCAGAAAGATTCCTTTCCTCCTCTATGGTAGGGGTGGGGGGTAGAGCATTTTCCTTCCCAGAGGCAGCATGTAAGTCACACACATAACGTAGCTATTGGCCATTTTGGTAGAACAATCTTCTCCAACCTGACCACCCGCAGATGTGCGGTCTACAATTCCCAGGATTCCTGGACAGCATGACCCTTTTTGAGAATTCTGGGGGTCAGTCCACACACCTGGAGAATGCCCAGGTTTGAGAAGACAACGGGGAGGACAGAAAGCACCTGCTTCGCTACCCAGAAGGCAACAATATATATAGACAGCAATGAATTAAGGCTCATGGAATCATAGAGTTGAAAGTCATCGAGTGTGACGCTGCTCAGTGCAGGATCCACTGGAGCATCTCTGGCAGATGATCAGAGTGACAAACTGGAGCGAGTTCAGAGGAGAGTGAAAACTTTCATTTGAAGACTTCAACCAAAGGAGAAGTCACAATTTCATATGGCAGTCTTTTTCCAACACTTGCTTTCTCACTTCCATGCCTAAATTTTCTAATCTGTCTCTCATATTTTTCTTAAGTTAACAGAGTTCCCTATCTCAATGATAAATCACGTTTTATAAACTATTGATGTTAAACACACTATGGTTCTTTCTCTCCCTGGTTTTAATGATGCTTTTAAATTCCGTTAGTGTCCTAGTTCTGCTATTTCAGTATTTTACAGAAACGTTCTTGTACTGAACCAATCTAAGCTAGAAACAGTAATTCTACCCTCCTATAGCATTTTTATCTCTGGAAAAGTCCTGCAAGTGAAATAAACCTGCTTTCTTTCTATTTATTTTGAGCCTCTGTCTTTCTCCATACTAAAATGAGGTTGCAGAAAGGTGAATAGTAATGGAAAAGGTTTAGATAGTTTGCATGCCGTATCCAAACTGGACCATTTGTATATTTATCATTCTTTCTCAACTGTACTTATATACCACTATAATCTACCCAGCCTTTCAGTGGTTTATACTGATAAAAACCATATAAAATGAATACTGTAGTTTAAAAACGATCCAAAAAATAAGAGCAGAAAGTAAAATAGAAAAAAGAGTAATAGATAATAGATAACAACCACTCTTCAGTGATAGAATCATAGACCTGTAGAGTTGGGAGGTACCTAGGCCTACCTCCTGCTCAGGACAGGATCCCTGCCAGATGACCATCCAGCCTCTGAAGTCCTCCAGCAAAGGAGAACTCACAACTTCATGTGGCCACCTATTCCACTGGCTAACTGCTTATACATCATATATCCTTGTAGTTTTAGCCCTCTGGAGCAATAGAAAGTAAGTCCACTCCCACTCCTACCTGACAACTCTTCAGGCATTTGAAACTGCTATCATACTTCCCCGTTGTCTTTTCTGTAGGCTAAATATACCCACATTCTCTAGGCCTTCTTCAGTGGGCCTGGTTTCCAGGTCCTTTACTGTCTTCACTCTCTTCTGAACCTGCTATAATTTGTCACTGTTCTTTCTGAACCGTGGTGCCCAAAACTGAACACAGCATCTCAAAGGGTGGAACTATCACTTCCCATGATTTGGACTCTCTGCTCCTATTAATGCACCCTAAGACAGCAGTTGCCTTTCTAGCAGCTGCATCACACTGTTGGAAGGCTTATGTAAAGAGTCCATTGTCCAATACGGCCCCCAGAAGAGTGCCTGTATTGATATTTAATGCCACTGGAGGGGGATGCTCACGCTTGAGTGTCCTGGCACCAGGAATGTTCACAATGGGTGCCCCTAAAGGGTTACTGGATCAGGTTCCTAGGCTGGACCTGGAGAGGGAGAGGACCCTTCAAATACCTGGAGAAAGGTCATATACAGGATAAAAGGTTATTTTCCATTGCTCCAAAGGGCAGAGCAAGATCTCACAGGCCTAAGTTGAAGGACAACCCATGTTAGTTGATGGTAAGAGCAGCTGGACAATGACATCAGAAGCACCAAGATCCCTATCAACTAAAATGTCTGGTCAGTCAACCCAATGTTCTCTCACCTTTTGGGTGGGCTAGACGATGCACTCGAAACCGGACATGGACCGCTTGTTGTAGCTTTTGCGTCACCAGCTCCAATGCTATTAGAAAGCCCTCCCGCTGGAATGCCAAGCCGGGAAATCCCATCGTCTGGAAAACAGAAGGGCCAAGATTTCACAGAGGCCTCTGGTGAGAGATTCATGCCCGACAAGGTCGTCAGTGCTCCTCACCTCCACCAGCCCTGACGGGGCAGAGAGGTCTTCTCTTTCGGTCAGGCTTCTGGTGGCCACATAGGTGTCAAATGCAAGAGCTCCCAGTTGGAAGTGGTCAGCGTTTAGAAGAATCTCTGTTGGAAGGAGCAAAGGGAAAAACAGGGAGGGGAGGGAGGAACATTAGTCTCTTTTTCTTATTGGAAAGATACAAATCCCCAAATCTGACAATTTTCCACAGAATTTTGTTTTGTTTTGTTTTTCTGCTCCAAATAAAACTTTCACATAGGGTCTTTGGGGAAGCAGCAGCATAAAACGGGCCCATATTTTCATTGGAAAGGGCACCTTGTTTTAGACAATTTGCTGATTTGTTCTTCCCCCTCCCCTATTTTCTACTGTTCCATTTCCCCCCCCCTTTTCTGTTTGTTTAATTAAATAATGCCGCCACCACCCACCCCTCCCCAAGGAAGAAATCAAATCTGCTCAATTTTCTTCTAGGCCAGGGATGGCCAATCTGCAGACTTGGCAAGACCTCCTGCATCCTTTTCGTAAGGTGGGCAAAAACAATGTCCTTCATGGGTCTTTGTCTAATTGATGGGGTCACAGTAAAGGAGGAAATGGGTGCTTAATCCTAGCAGAGGCTTTTGGCATCTATTCCATCTCCTTAAAACCTCTCAGAACTAGGACCAATTTTCCACAGGGGGGGGGGGAGGAAACATACATGCATCCATTTTGCTCTTTAAAACCCCTCAACCTCCCCATAGCCTGCTCCAACCCTGCTCCAGAGATCTCAGGTGTCACTGGCCACGTCTCCCGAGGCCTCTAAAAGCAGGCTAGAGGGCTAGGGCAGCCCCAGCCGCAAGAAACTCACTCCTCCCTACTCTAAATGCAAGAGAATTTCTCTCTAGGAAAGTGTGCAGAAAGAGTCAAAGGGTCTGAAAGCACACCATGAGCCAATGTCCTGGAATACCAGGAATTCTGTCTTGATCTCAATGAGCCAGAAAGGGCACATCACTCCCGGCTGAGCCTTTTTCAGACAGCCCCGTGCCCAAGTGCCCCAGGATGAAACCCACCTTGTGGCTTGCGCTCGCACACGTAGCTGTGCTTGGCCGTACACAGATCCGTGTTGCACTGTCCAGCAGGACCCATCCGGACACAGTGGTCGGCATTGGAGGGATGGGGCTCCCCCGGAAGCCAGTTCTGGCAGCTCTGCAGATCGAACCCTTCCTCACCTTGTGGCAAAGGGCTGGGGCTTGCAACATCGTTAAACCCGATCCAGACATCCAGGCTCCTTTGGGGAGAGAAAGCCCAGCTGCGTCAGGAAGTCGTCGGCATGAAATGCACCACCCAGAAGACCCCCACTTGCCGTTTGTTCCAGAAGACCACTCAAGAATACGCACATGGAGGTGACAGAGGGTGGGCTGGCCCCAGGAGGAAGTAACCTTCCCATTTTGACAATGAAACACGCAGCCAACTATTGAAAGCATGCAGGTTAAGGGCACGCAGCACAAAGGGAAGCAAATGCTTGGGTTTCTTATGCAGCTGGTTCAGGGGCACCCACAGGGAGGCAAGGCCAAAAAGGTCAGGATGGCGGCTATGGCTCCATGATCGAAGCCCCGCACAAAAAAACAGGGCTGTAAGAAATGCCTTGAGTCAGTTAGTTAAGAGTAGGATTAAGCCAGGGATGTGCAGGGCCTCTGAGGGGCTGAGGGCAAGAGAAATGCTTTAATTAAAGCAGATCATTTTTATTTATTCACTGATTTGATTTATATCTGCCCTTTTTGTACAGGAGCTCAAGGTGGCATGCCTAGAAGCTCCCTCCTTTCTTCCTACCCAGTGAGGTAGTGTGGGTGAGGAGGACTAGAACCTGGGTCTCCCAGCTCCTCGTCCAGCCCCTTCCCCACTACCCCCACCCTGGTTCTTAGTAACAGCTGGGTTCACAAACCGCACTGACCATTTCCCAGTCAACGCATTTAAAATTACAACTGCGGCAGCTTCTGGAACGGCTCCCAGGGGCCACACGGAAGGTTTGGGGATCCTGCGCTCCTTGGGTTGGCTATCCCTCCTGGCTTAAATGTCCAGCTCCAGCCTTTGGGGAAACTCCTGATAAATATGCCAACCAAGCACTACTTTCCTGCAAGGAAGCCTTTGTTTGATGCAGCCTGCCTGAGCAGCTGGTCCTCTGTGTCCTGGCAACATCCAAATGAGGCTGTATGAACAGGGGGCTGTCTTTCCAGGAGCTTCAATTAGTTACCAACTGAGCTGAAGGTTATGACGGGCAGTGGATCCTTCTGGGCCCAACCCTGCCAGTTCTCCAATAGCCACACCAGCATTCACAGACCAGGCATTTGCCTTTCTGCCCCTCTGCGGCTGGCGGGGAGGGGCAGTCCTTCCCTCTGAGCCTGCTTGTGCTTTGCAAGCATCACCAGACACCCTCTTCCAAGGCCCCCACCCTCTGTGCTGACCAAAGATCATTTCTCTCTGGCAGTGGCACCCCATGCCTGGAATTCCTTTCCCAGGGAAACCATCATGGCATCTGGCCACTGGTCCTTTCGGTGCTACACAGATGGTCTTTTCTTTGACAAAGTTTCTTACAAATTATCAAGTGGAGCTTTAAATCAGAACCAAGCCACCCAAGCCCCCTCTTGCCAGGAGGGTGGAAAAGAGACAGCAGTTAATTCTCTACCATTCTGAGGTGGGAAATGCACGGAAACCCCAAAACTCAGCCCTGCCCACAGGCACGAAGAGGTCAACACACTCTGCAGTGCACACCTCCTCCCCAGCTTACAGATACAGGAACTTGTTGATTGGGGAGGTGGGGGGGGCAACAGCCTGCCCCAGGGAAACCAGACTTCAAAGCCCAACGTTTTCTCAAGTACTCTGGGCACATCTGGTTGGAATAATCTTCCTCCCCATCTGAAGACATTTATCCCTGTCTGGAATCCTTTAAGAACGACACTCAGGCCCTCTGCTAAGTGACTTAAAAGGTTTATTGCACAATGCCTTCAAGGCAGCCTCTGAAAACACCAGGAGAGCCAACTTCTCAGGCTGCTGGGTACCAGGGCACCATGTTGTGGACACTCTTCTAAAAGGGCTACCAGGAGTTCAAACCCAGTTACAACGCACCCATCACTAGAGTGGGTTTCATTCTGCCTTCCTCTCCCCTCCAACCAACAACCCTCCCTAAAAACATACAAAAAATTCTCAACACTATCCCCCTCCCTTACTAAAAGTGGGCATTTCCTGCCCAATCCAGACACTCTACATCATCCTCCCTTCGGCTCCGGCTCTTGCACCTTCCCCACCAGCATAGGTACATCCTCAGCCCCCAAGCATTTGCTGCAGCCCTGGGTCTTCAGGCAGTAGGACTGAGGTGGAAACCGGATGAAGCGCAGAGCCCAAACTCCCTGCCAGTGGGAGAAGAACCCTCCCTGGAGCTGGAGAGACACTTGGGGGCAAAAGGCCAACCAACTGGCTTAAGAGGAGGCCAGGTGAGTGTGCTGCTAGACAGGTGAGCTGATCCCCAAAGGATGGGATTTAGCCCAGTGCCATGCACCAGGTTGGACTAACTCTGCCCCATCTGCCTTATTATGGGAATTCCCAACCAAGCCAGTGGATTCATTGTACCCCCTTTCTCCACATGGATTGGCTGCCGTGGCCAAGCCACACCTGCTGCCACCTGGCACAAGGGCTGGCACAGACATGTAGCCCTGCCATACATGGCACTTTGGGGAGAAAACGGGCTGCTCGGTTAGCCAGCTGTTTGCTGGCAAAACCACCAGGAGGGGGATCTGACGGGGTTCGTAACTAACCGAATTAAGTGTGCTGGAGGAGCAGAGCCAAGCAGCCAAACTGGCTGAAAAGCTTTATTTCTCCTCTTTTTTTTTAAATAAAAAAGAGGTTCTGCATTCATACCTTGCCAAAGTCCCACCCTCTGCTCACCCTGCTTAAGTCATGCACAAACAGGATGGCGGGGCTTGATTTCCAGAGATAATCAATGGTTCTCCACCACGGAGATGCTTTGCCAGCCACAGTAATGAAGTCATCTCAAAAAGAGCTTTCACAGCAAGAAAGTAACGACAAAAATAACTTGCTCATGCAATCCAACAAGGTTCTCTTCTTCTTCTTCTTCTTCTTCGTCTTCTTCTTCTTTTTTCTAAAGGCACAAAAATATGCCTAAAGGATAAACAGCCATGGTGTTTTGCTCCTTAGCTATTGGCATTGCTCATCAAGAGATTGGTCTCAGGAACAGCCAACTCACTTGCTGCCATCCCCAAAGAGCCACTGAGATTCTCCCGTTCTCATTCCAGCCATGATCTCATTCTGAGAGTCACTGCAGAAAAGCAGGACAGCAACGCCATGCCCATCCACCCCTGCACCCTGGCGCCAAACTCCCAAAGGGAGGGAGACTCTTTGCGTGAATAACCCACCTCACATCTCAACGTCCTCAGCAGCACCTGACCCTTTGCTCCCCCCCACAACAGTTGCTTCACGAAAAGAAAGTTTAGATAGAGGAGGGAGCCATCAAGCAGCCACAAGGGAGGGAGGGTCTTGGCTGTCACATGGGCTAATGGGAAACAGATTTCCTCCGCTGTTGTTTCCCACACCTCCCTCATTCATCTTCTCTCACCGAACTGAACCAAGAGGAGCGCCACGCCCTGGATCCCTTGCCATGTCTATCCGACAGGGCAAGCCCAGAACAGAAATGGATACAGAGGCACAGCGACATCCCTCCAAGGATGGTGATGGTCCTGCAGCCCCTCCAGCAAAAAGGAAAACGGCTAACAGAAAGTCAAAGGAAGGAGCATGACCTCTTAAGAACCCAGAGGTCTGAACTCCAACTCCCTATGGCCACCTCCACCACAAAAGTCTTCTTCTGGCCCCCGGGAACCTCCAAAAGCTCATGCATTTAATAATCTAATAATTTCATTTTTCATTATAATTTCTAATGTGTCAGAAGGAGAACTAATCACTGTATTTACATGACCTAAATAAAAATGGCACAAAGTAAACTTTATTTTCTCTCATGCCTCCTCCACCTATTTTGGGAAGGTGGCTCCCGGCACACCACTCAGAGCTATGTCTGGCCCTCAACCCAGAGAACCCTGCACACCCCTTGAATCATGCTTAGAAAAGGAGAGGCTCTCAGAGGACCTTTTCCCCGCTGCCCATCCTTGAGTTGCCATGGCATTTGCTGCTGATCTCTCTTTTATCACCTCTGTCCCAGTCACTTCCAGTCCCTTGATTTCCCTGCACGGAAATGGGTAGCAAACCATAACGGATTTTAGGTACCTTGATGCTTCCCTTGGATGGGGTTGGCAAAACACTACTTTGGGCCTTTCTCCACTGCTCTCCACTCACTCTTGAGCCGGCAGACAATTTTACCAGCATGAAAGTGGAGGTCCCCTTGCCAACCCCTCTCCTGCTTCTTTTCCCCATCACCTCCATTCCCCTGACTTCCCTCCAAGGAAAACAGGTGGCAAAGCCTAAAAGATCCAGATGGTGTTCAAATAAGGGGGAAACGCTACTTTAACACCGGTGTAGCTAAGGACAACTCAAGGCTGTTTTTTTCCAGGACTGGTGACAAGATGAAGGCCACCTCACAAGGACCTGGAGGATAGAAGGTGTTGCCAGAGCATGTTCATGCCAAGGTTAGGTATAAACAGGGAAAGGTCTTAAACCAAGGGAAGGTATACAGAAACCTCAGAACCACTTATTAATCTATAAATAAAATTAATAATTCTTAGAAAAGAGAGTATCAGACCCAAGAGGATATAAACTGATAATCACAAAATTATTCAGGATTTAATCTACTTGAGTGATTAGAAGATTTCTAGTTCTTAGGAAAGGAAAGAATCTCTAAACCGAGGATTAACATATTGGTAATCACAGAATGATTCCCAACCAATGAAAAAAGAAGCCTTAGTGAATTCAGAAATATATCTCCTTGGGAAAAAGACCAGAATACGTCCAAGGTCAATATCCAAATCCTAAGACTGAGGTTAGAGGGTGCTAACTTTAAAAAATTCCTCTGTATAGCTGCAGACACAAAGAAGGAAGATGCCAGATCCTGTCTGTGCCAGCTGCCCATCCCACTGTCCTGGGCTGAAAAAATGGCCAAGTGGAATTGCAAGAAGTCAAGCACAGATGCCCCCCATGGCATCTGGGTGAGTCATCAGAATCTGGCTCAGGAGGAAATGGGCTGTTCTTTTTCTGATGAAGAATAAAAGTGGAGGCATGCAATAAGAAGCAGAGAACATGAGCAAGAACTAAGGAAAGATGGATGGTGGATAAGCAGAGCATCCCATATCTGGGTAATTTCCACAAAAGCAAATCAGGAGCAAGCAATTCCATCCTCTGTATGGTAGAGAGGGAGGAGCTGCCAAATGTGCAGAGAAAATTGCACAAAGATTCAGGAAGCTATGCATCTTTAAAACTGCAAGGAAGAAGATTTTCAGAATGACAGAAACACAACAGCACAGATGTAACATTTCTGGTCTGCTGATCAGGATTATCCATGGACTTGTGTTCTCTCCTGTCATTTCTCCCATGGTTTGTTTTAATCTTGATATTTTATTATATTTATATTGGCTTTGACTTTGATTAATGCAAACCCAGGCTGCTGAAGTTACGAACATTGGTACGCAGGGTTCAAAGTGGATTTGCTAACAGTTTGGAATAACTATGTGGATCACTTCTCAACACAAGACATAACTCCAGGACAGGGCAAACCATGAAGCGTCTTCTTGTGGAAGAAGAAGAGCATTGGAAAGGGAGCAAAGCATATGACTCCTCCATCTCCTTAGCAAAAAAGAGCAATGTCTCACTCAATCGCTTACAAATCCTTTGCCTTTTTGTTGTTGATTTATTTAGATTGGTCAGATAGAACTGCTGGTGCTGGGACTCAAGCCTGAGGGAAGTCTAGAAGGTGGAGAGATTTTGACAACCAATTATTTATTGAAGTAATACAAGAAATTAATCCCATTCAAGGCTGTAAGCAAAGAGGAAAATGCTCTCCTTAAGGGGAAACCAAACACCATGTAGCAGCAGCAAGCCAGCTTTAATGAATAAAGGTTCCGGGGGGGGGGGTGTCAAAAAAAGTCAAGATGGCACCTGCACTTGTATAATTGAAGTCCTGACCCTTTTGAAATGTGTCGTGCACATGAAGCAGGTAAAACAGGAATGGAGGCTTTGATTGTGCAGTCATAGCTGTCAACGCATCTTAACTTTCTTAAAACATTTCCTGCAGATACCCCTAAGTTGTAGGGAGTGTAATTCGGACCACCATTAATGACAGAGTTCCACTGGCCAACTCCAGGTTCTCTCGCAAGATGAACGTTGGCTTAGGAGAACGGTCTGTGGTGCATTTGTAGGAATAGAGGGGGGCTCCATCCATCCTCGCCGATTCTTAATGCAAACCTCCCCCTGGCTGTTTTGTCTTTAACCTGCTCTGTCCCAGCCAGACTGAGGAGGAAGATAGGTAAGGAATTGGCAACAGAGGACCAGAATATTCCCACCTTAACAATCACTCCCCCATACAGTAATCAGCAGAAAATATTTGAGTCCCAGCATCATCCTTAACCAAACAGGGCAATGTCATGTTATTTCTAACAATTAGACCGTGTTTTTACTAACTCACCTGGTGACACTGGACACTAAGAAGTTCTGGATTTCAGGGCTGCTGACAAAGGCCAGATCTCCGCTGCCGTGCTCTTGGCAAAGCCTCTGGGCCTCCAGCCATTCCGCTTTTTCTGCTCCGAGCCAATAGCAGTGGCTATTCCCAGGGAAGACCACACTGTCCAAGGGGCAACCTGGAAGGATCACTGCACAACCAAGAAGGGACTAGTTAGCTTTTGGACTGTGCACAGAAAGCTCAAAGGACAGGCTCTGGCCTCTTGACCAAACCACCAAGTCCATCAATGGCATGGGAGAAACACCAATTTGGCCCAAACCCCAAAGATTCCTCTATGTCTCCTCTTCCACCCTCCTTTGACCCTTGGGAGGGTCAATATCCTTCCAAGAAAGATAAAAGTTTCAAAGGCTGAGCAGCAATGCACCAAGCTCTTTTTTCATAAGCCCAGTTTTTAAGCTGTACAAGAGATACGACAGGCCCCTAGCCATCATTGTCCCAGAACACTTCACATTGGTAGAGTAAAATGCAAAAATTCTGAGCCTACAAACCGAAAAGAGCTGCACACTGTAACTCTAATTATGCTCATGCTACCTGGTTTTGGGCTCATTCACACACCCTCTTTGCCCCAGCTCTGAGATGGCTTGCTTATTGTTGTAGATGACAAGTCCTCACAACAGAGCCTCCATCTCAGGGCTGGTCTGCTGCTGCTGAAGGTGGAAATCAGACCAAAGCAATCCAGCAAAATGCTGTTAAGACTTTCCAGGGCTTGGTAGCTTTAAACTAAAAGTTTTCTCTTGTAGCCTAAGATATTCTTACTGCTTTCTATTGATTGTGGAAGGGGAATTAGAGAGAAAGTCACTTTCTATCTTTCAGGCTCACTTCTGTTCCTGAAGGTCATCCTTCTCTAACCATGAGAAGAATTTCAAGAAGAATTCTCCAACTGTGGAGTCCTTGGGGTTCTCTGAGCTTGGTTGTTTTCTTGCAAACATTTCATTACCCGGCTAGGTAACATCTTCAGTGCTAGAATGGAGTGGGGTTTGCTCTCTGTTTATATACAGAGATTTTAATGCAACGCTTAGGACTTCCACACATACAACCAAAAGTATGGATCCGGTATGTAGATGACACCTTTGTTATAATAAAAAAGGAACAACTAGAGAAGACACATGAAACTATCAACAACACCTACAAAGAAATAAAATCCCCCAGAGAGGAAAAAAACAACAACACGCCGCCCTTCCTGAATATCCTCATCAGCAGAGGAAACAGCAAACTGAAAACT